CTACAGTTATACTTCAGTAACTCAATAGTACAAACTTATTAATACTTAGCACCATTGTGATTTAAAGAAATTTATTATTATACAAGTATAATAATATAGTGCACTGTAATTACTAGTTAGTATTATAAATGTATAGATTTCCCTGTAACACCAGAAATTTACATCCACCCCTCAAAAGAACACATACAGTTTCAGTATTTGCTAACCTATCTGTGGGTCACTGGTAATACAGATAAACTATATTTTGACATTTTTTTTTGTAATACCCCATGTATACAATTTTAACTATGAATCATTAATAAATAACAATTTTTGATACACAAAATTTAATGCTACAGGTGAGGTATGTTTTGTTTCTTAAATAAATGTTAAAAAATAATCACAAACACGATTTTAAAAACCAACACAGGCGCGGAGATGTGTAACATGGCAATTAATACAACTGATAATTTAGACAAAGAAAATCAAAATTATGGATGTAGAGTTCAAGTCCATGAATTTTCAGTATGTTTGGTTTGTATGATGACAAATGTTTTGAACCATAGGTATTTTATAATAGATAAGAGATATTGAAAAACATCATACAAATAAAAATTTAATCAATAGAACCAGAAAAAAATTATTTATTCAGATGATAGGATAACCTAACCTTAAAGTACGATGAAAAGTCATGATTTTCTTCACAAAACTAGGCCAATCATATCAATTACTTAATGGAATTACAAATGCTCAAAGCCTCAAACTCAGACTACTGAAAGTTTATTGAAACAAATTAAAGTAAAATATGGTTTAAGACTATATAGAATTTACTACCAACCTACATGAAAGAAGATTACAAGAAGAATAATGGCAATCAGTTAATCTGACTAATTATTCAAAAGTTTTTTATCAGATAGGTATTAGGTACTTGTTTAATCAAATACTTCAATGATTAATGATAACTATTCAACTATAGTCTTCAATTAAATCAAGGCAAGAATAAATAAGTTTTATTTTTATAGATAGCAAACAATATGTTAGTTGAAAATTACTTCTATTTCAAACCAAAACAAACTATAATAATAACATACTTTAACATTGAAAAATGGATGTTCCAGTGCTTCATCTACTGTCAACCTTTCATTTGGATTCAAAACTAAAAGTTTTCTAATTAAATCTTTTGGTGACTCTAAGTGTTTAAATAAAAAATATTAATATAACATTATTATTTCTTATTTTATCAAAAAGTTTATTTTAAATTTAAACTAACTATATTTTTTTTRCCAGAAATATCTTGCCACTCCGGAGAATTAAAAGTGTATTTTCCTTCCATTATATTTCTCAACATAATCATTTGTTTACGGTGCCAAAACGGAGGACAGCCAATTAATCTGTAATCAAGTTATACTAATAATAATTTTAGCTAAAATGAGAAATACTATTTAATTACTTAACACAAATAATCATATTACTTACAGTGTATACATAACTACACCACATGCCCACCTAAAAAAAAAAAATAAGCTTTAGTACCTATGTACTTTCCATATAATTAAACAATCAATTTAATTTCAATAAAAAAGTATAAGAATTTACAAATATAACCTATAAAATACACAAAATACAATTTTTTTGATATTTAAGAGGATGCCCCACCTGTATGTATTGTATCCGTCTTACAAGTGTGTAACATAACAAATTTCATGCTCAGCAGTTCATGTTTAGCTCTGTTAGGTAGATTAAAATTTAAAGTGATTGACCTCTTATAATAATAAAAGAAAACTTTATTAATTATTATCTAGGTTATAACATAGGCTTTATATTATATTTTAATTTAAAAAATACTCATAACTCGCTTTAAAACTTATATATAATAAAAAGCCCTTGTGATAACCAAGATAGTGATGATAACTTTAATTTTCATAAGAAGTCAACTCACTCTAAATTTTAAACTAACGGAGCTAAATTGAAACTGTTGAACGTAAAATTTGATATGTTACACACTCATAAGACGGAGACAATACATGCAGCATCCTCCTAATATTTATTTGTAATTCAACTTGACAATTAATACATTCAATATAATTGAATACAATTCAAATTTAAAAAATGTATTTTTGTTATTTAAACATGTCTTTTTATACTGAGATTAACTCACTAAAATAGTATTTTCCAAAATTTTGGTTTATGTAATAAGTTAGTACACGATTAGAAAGCCCTAGAAAGAAAAAAACCCCTAAGATATTATCATGATTATATGCATCTATTAATTCAAATTAAGCTGTTAGTAGTCTAGTATACATCCATGATTAAACCCATATTAGTGTAATGGACTTTCACTAAAACAGCTTACCTATATTACATAAAACTTGTCAAACTCAAAGTATAAGTGGCTCAGATAAATTAAATAATTTAGTATGCAGACTGCCCATAAAAATTTATCAACAAACATTTTATACAAATTTTTAATTTTATTCATTACTTATTACAATACTTGCTCAATTACAATTAACAGTTTATCAGAAGATAAGACAGAAAAGTAACACAATGTATTCCTCTAACTCAGTTGTGAAATAAAAGAAAATTTTTATAATTTTTATTTTTATTAATTATTCATAAATATTGCTATCCAAGTGTCATAAAAAATAAGCCAGGAGCAGCATGCCATATTATGTTTGACATGCCCAATTTACATGCACAGTTGTCGAACCAATTTACCTAACATTTTTTTTACAGAACAGCTACACTGATTCTGTTGTAAATAGTTGTAATATAGTTTTCCGTTAACATAAATTTTATACTCCAGTTATTTCTAAAGTGCATTTTGAATGTAAATTAACTAAACCGTTTTTAACATAAACTAAACTTTCTACTAATTCAAACTATAAACAGCCATTTACGTGCATATMATTTCAGGAATTAATTGATTAAAATTGAGATAAATCAGTTCAAGCTGTGTATGTAAACATAGTAAAGATCAGGATCTGTGTCCTGGGATCAGTGTTTTTATATTAAAACAAAGTGGAAATATGATGCTAATATTCTCTAAAAATCCATAAAATAATAGTGATAATGGTCTCTTAAAAATGAAAAACACATAATTATGCCAATATTTATTTTTATAACAAAAAGTTTTGAATATTACTTATAACATAAAGTCATAAAATGACCTATACATTTATTTACAAATAATTTAAAATAACTAGAGAAATTCAAAATAAATTAAGTATTCATATGTTAATATAATATGAATATGAAAAAATAAATGTAAAATTTAAATTATTTTTAAAACTATAGAGAAAACATGCTTGAAAAAGAAAAGAATAAAAATTAGATTTATATCATCACMTGATAAGTGATAAGTTATTAGTGACAGTTTAACCATACACATTTTATTAAAATGTATTTTTGTAAATTGAGTTCAGTCTTTTTGTTCCTATTCTCCCTACACTCTACTCAAGATAAGAATGAATCTTTCAGCCAAGTGGTGAGCTCGGATTTTTTGAAAGGGGAGGGGGTGAAATTTTTATTCTTTTCAGACCCTGTTATATAGTGTAAATAATATACATTTAATCTATGTCGTAACTTGGGAGGATAGATTAAGGGCTTAAGCCCCTCCCTGAAATATCAAACTTACCATACCTGATAGTACCCTAGCTCTAGCAATAGAATATTAAATATTATAGCTCCCCCTCCTACAAAAAATTCCGGCGACTGCATTATTTTCATCACTTTAACAATTAATCATATATTTTATACTACAAAAATAAGCCAAAGGTGGTGGGAGGAATATAATACCCTCATGAGCACTTTGTATGCCCCTGCCACAGCCTATGAATAATGGTTGTATCTGCACATCAAGACTCTATTCAGAACAGGCATGTTAGAGGTTGTTTTGGTGTTATGACACAATTAAAAATTTAAAAATTTAAAAAAAGTAATGGATACTAAAAATAATACTGGCATAAATATAAGCTTTGAACATATCATACAGTTACTTAAATATGAATGAGATATAAATATTATTTATAACTGCAGGCATTAAAATAATTTTATTATTAAATTAGATATTATTTTATAATTACAGATCACATGAAAATCCATATCCTTCAGCATCATCAAACATATTTACTTTTAATACTTCTGGAGCTAAATAATTTGGTGTGCCACATAAATCTAAAAAAAATTATAATAAATGACAAAAAA